ACTGCTTTCTGCACTTTATCCTCTAATGCGCTGCTTTGGGTTCCTAAGAGCAGAGACTATTGTGGATCAGCCCAAATAAAAAGTCTCTTTACCTTCATGGTTTAATTCTCACCACAAAAAGGTAAACTCTTAGAACTAGGTCTAAATGGTCATATCTAATGACAGTACATTCACATTTCAAATACTGACTCTCAGTTGGTTATATCAAACATTTTTGTAATTAAGGGAGGGACTTAGCGATAGCAGTTAGTCATCCCATTGTTGTCTGACTTAAACATTAAATAGCAGAAAACCCTACAGATAAGACTACTGCCACAAAGTGAATAATATTCATCAGCTTAACTGTGGTATGCTGGTCAATGCCATGTTCTTTCTTTTTTTTAAAAAAAAATTATTTTTACTTTATGTGTATGCATGTATTGCCTGCACGTATGTAAGTGCACCCATGTTGGGAAATGCCTGCAGAGGACAGAGAGGTTGTCAGATCCCCTGGAACTGGAGTTACAGATAGTTGTTAGCTGCCATGTGGGTGCTGGGATTCAAACTCAGGTCTTCTGCAAGAACAGACAGTGTTCTTAACCGCCGAGCCATCTCTCCAGCCCCACTATGTTCTTTCTTAAAATTACAGTGCTTTGAGAATAAAGACAAGCAGTACATAGCAGCATGCTACTGACTTCAGGAGGCCTAGCTTCCATTCTCTGTTCTGCCATTCACTTGGGATAAGCTGCCTCAAGTTTACTTATGTATGTCAGAAAATCTCTCTGTTCCCATCACCTGGTTCTTATACATGAGAAGCCTTAGCACAGGCTTTGGCAACCAGTATTGGCTCAAGAAATGGTGGCTCTCTTTTCATTATACCAACTATATCTTTACATTATTTTTCTTTTCTTATTGAATTTTTGTGATTTTCAAACAATATAATTTGATGGTATTTGGATCATCCCTACATTCACACCTCCCTTGTTGCCCCCTCCCACCCAATTTAATATACTCTATTTTAAATAATAAGGCCTGTAGAGTCTTATTTGTGTCCCTAAATATCCTTCAGCGTGGGTCTATCCACTGGGGCCTGGTAAACCTGCCAAGAGTCCCATCCTTGAAAGAGACTGGCTCTGCCCCTCCCAGATGGCATTGGTTGCCACACTTTCCTTAGGTGGGGTTGGAGCTCTTTACCCACTCCCTCACATCTCTTCTGGTATTTTTTCTGGTTTGAGCTTGCATGGGACTTGCACATGCTGTCACCATTGCTGTGACTTCACGTGAGTAACTGACCAGCTGTCTCAAAATTTCTGTTTCCTTGTGGTCATTTACCACCTCTTACAGTCTTTCTACCCCCTCTTCTGAATGATCCTAGTGCCTTGGGAGGCAGAGGTTTGATACAGGTGTCCTATTCAGGGGTAAGCACGCTGTAGTCTCTTGTTCTCTTCACATTGGCTGTTGTGGGTTTCAGTGTTAAGCACCATCTGGTCCATAAGGAAATTTCTCTGGTGAGAGCTGAGAGATGCATTAACCTATGGGTATAACAGTAAGTCATTAGGAGTCAGTTTAATACAATAGCTATTTAGTAGAAAACTGCTACTCAGTTCTCTCCTATGTCCTGTGGCCTAACTAGCCTCTTAAACCTGAAATCAGTATCAGGTATGGGCTCCATCCTATGAGCATACCTTAAATCACTTAAAGAGTGGTTGGTTACTCCCCTAATGGCCCTGCCACTATTGCACTGGTGGGCATATCCTGCCAGGCCAATTGTTACTGTAGCTCATAGGATTCACTGCTGGGTAGGGTTGATGATTATTTTTTCCTTCTGGCAGCATGCATAGCACCTTGCAGCACTATGGACACTATTCAGTAGAGATGAGACTTAACACTGGTTTTCCTATATCCTAGTAGTCTGCCACTAACCCTGGAGTTACCCAAGACAGACTGACTTAGATTCTAACCACCTTAGAGTCTTAGATTCTCCCACCATCAACACATCAGTGACACTTGTTCTCACCTAAGCCATCAAATTTATCTTTTTAATGGCAATAGTAGTATTTACCCTGTAGATTACATACTAGTTTTCCCTTTACTTTCTTATGGTGATTTAGGTTCCAATACAAATATTGCTCCTGAACAGAGACCATCTCCCTAATGCCTGCCTGATCCTAGGTGCTCCATCAGTGCCTGTACAGTGGTGTCCCGTCCTGGGACAGGCACTGTAGGTGTTCCCTAAGTTGGAGCACATTGTTTTGGCTCAATGTTCAGTGTTTCTGACACATTCATCCTTTAGTTCATCTTTCAGAAATTGTCTCACTTGTAAGATGAGTGCGTATGTAGCATCTATCTTGGAGAGCATGTTGACACCTGTAAGGTGTGCTGAAAGCACCTGGTCACTAGTTAGTGCCACTATTATCTGTAATGAAACTCAAGATTTTAAGGTAGAAATAACATCTTATAGATTGATGTTCTCTCCACATCAAGTCTTCCCAGATAAAACCTGAGCAGATGAGACCTGTGGTGCTATTTGAACTGAGGCAACTGAATAGAAAAACTGTGTGACGGAATTGCAGGACTTCTAGTCCGTTGTTGTGTTATATGTATCTTACAATACAAACAGTTTGTGACTCTCGGCTACATATCTTGAGTGAAGGACAAGTGATGTGTATCTGGTACTTGACAGTGGTCAGTGCAGCATCTCTATGTGCATCTGTCTATCTAGCAGTTTCATGATGCTCTTGGTGGTGCCTGGAAACCTAGGGGTTGTGGCCACATTCCCTTGGATAAAAGTGCAAATGGGAAGAACTAGTGAGTCAGATATTTCCATGATGATCATGCTGAGCTCTGCTGAAGTTTTATTACATCAAACCATGAGGCAACAGGCAGGCTTGATTCTTTTCAGTGTGTGAGACACCAGCTTGGATATTACAGATGAGCACATTGCAGGAAAGAATGGTAAACTATGAACTGGAAAGCATTCATTCAAGGATTTGCAGTGGGCTGTGACCTTCAGAATGCTGTGATTTTTACCTTAGAATCTTGCAGTCTTGGAAACTTTTATGTTACAGGTAAAGATACCGAATGTGACTGTTTTCTCATTTTGAACAAAGTACCCGGTCCTACATTGGGCACCATAAATTTACTGGGAACTGGAAATTACAAACCGTGATCACAGAATAAAATATTTCTGCCTCCTTATTATGTTGTTAACTATGCTAACTCTGTCCTTCTAAAGGCTTGTGTCTTTCATTTGGAAAAAAACAGAGAATCACTGTCATACTGTAGTGTCTGTGGGGCGGGCTGTGTCCTAATATCACTCATTCTGGCTCATATCCAAGGATGAGTTTGTCATTGGGCTACTCACGTTTTTTTTTAGATTCCCAGCTTTGTACACATTTAATACTTTATCTCCGCTTGACATCCTTTCATTGCCTCAAGATTATTACTGTCGAATTTGCTTGCTTCTAAACATTTTAAGTGATAATTTTGGAAACTTTTCTTGAATAGCATTCTGCTAAATATTCTGGGGAAACATTTTGGCTTTTCTTAGTTTGTTAATGCTGGTTACATCATGGGAGCTATAGATTTCTTGGGCGTACAAAATGATTGCATATTCATGAACATCTTCAATCCTGAAATATTTGTAAATAACTTGGCAATTTTTTTTATAAGATTGCCTATTAAAATACTTAGGACTTTAATTGTTCACATAGAGAGAAATTGTGCATACAGAGCACCACCTAGTTAACTTAAATAATGTTTCAATGTTGAGCAATTTAGATTATGGACATAGAAGTCACCTTTCTTAAACAAAGTACAAGAGTTGCTATTTTCCACTGAAGAATGATTCAAGTTTGAAAATGTCAATAGATGCAAAAAGCCACCCTAGAGCTTTGCTCTCTCAAAAGAAAGTCGAGAAGGAATGACATAGTCAATGTTAACTGTCACCAGATGAAGAGAAATCAGATTGTCAGGCCTGGATCTATAAAATTCTTGCCAAAGTAGGACCTCATTTACACATACAGATCTTCATACCCTTTGCTAAGAAAAGCATCTGTGGCAGTTTAGATGTTTGTGCGTTTGCCAAAGATCTTTCACTCTGAATAAAGTAAATGTCATGTCTGTTGTTTATCTCAAATTCAGCCGAGTATTTTTTAAAGGAAATATTTGCGGGGGAGGGCTGAAGGAGGAGGAGTTCAGGCGCTGCAGTGAGGAGGTGGGCGTGGCTGTTTAGCAGCAGTAGTCAAGAATCAGACTGTCTCTGTAAATAAGCCTGAAATGTGCACTGGGCTCATGAATTGAAAATGTCCTTTTGAAGTGTTGAAGTAACAACACTACAATAAATCAAGGAATGTGGAGTCTTCCTGAATCTCTACCTAGTCTGTCAACATCATAAAAAAAAAAAAAAAAAAAAAAAAAAAAAAAAAATCATCCAGTTAATTCCGTCAAACGTCAAACTGATTATTTGGCACCATGAAGACACAGCTGTCTTAAACTAAAATTCTGAACATTTAAAGCTAGATGGCATTGTATCCAGAGCCAGCTGGTACAAGGGCATCTATCCGTGTACAAAGGGTCCCTCAGCAATTGGAAACAGAACTTCATTGCTCCACACTGGAGCTCAACCTACTGAATAGCAATGAAATTAAAAAAGCAGAGACAAAAACCAAAACCTAGGTTTTGGCAAAATTTCTTGGCCAATGGGTACCTATGGTAAAATCAGACTCCTGGTTAAGAGTATGGTGTGGCTATGTAACTATATAAAATCAAAAGAAAAGAGAGGCATATATCTGTGTGCTTTTTTAAATACCTTATTTAACCTGGCTTGTAGGCAATTCAGAGTCCTAATGAGATCTTGATGTAAAATAAATCCTGAGACCTTTATTCAGGACATCTATCTCAGATGATACAAATTATATTATTCTTGGCAAATATTTGTCTTAAGTATGACTTGTTCTTTCAGTGTCATTTGTTTTATGGAAGTATTCTGTGTGACTTTGAATATCATTTTATTCCCCCAGATGACATGGAAGCCATCCCTGTCAAACAGTTTGTTAAACACATCGGTGAGCTCTATTCTAATAGCCAGCATGGGTTCTCTGAGGATTTTGAGGTATGTTTCAAAATTGGAATTTAATTTTCAGAAACTATTTTTATTTCAGAAGGATTTTTGTAAGCTTGAACTGAATTTATTCTAAGCATAACAGAATGATAATTCTGCCAGTTGAATATTTTTCTCTCTTCTCAATTGGTGATTTTTTTATATAAACATTCTTTTCCCAATAAATTGGGGAGAAGGGAGTTGGTTCCACTTGTCTTGCATATGCATGTCAGTGAAAGACCAGAGCAAGGTTCAAAGGGAAACAGCGAGTGGAGATTGTTTCTCTGGTTCTTTCTTGGTCTTAATTCTAACTGGGTGCAGCAGTCAAAATCAGAGCTCCTGACTCCATGGCACTTCTGGGATGCACATGGCATAGTGGAAACAGGAGGCTTGGCGTCTGAGGAAGTGGCTGCTGGTTGTGCCAGTAGCGAGCCTGGTAAGCCTTTGGGTGCTGGTTCTGTCAGCACTTGGCCATCGCCTCATCTCTGATCACCAGTTTCCTCAGTCTTGAAAATGATGCTGATGTCCCCCACATTCTAAAGTTGTTATAAAAAAATAAACATCTATGAAGTGCTAGGTTAAGTATTAATCGATTGTTGTTTTCAGGATTATTAAGCCTTGGAGAGAAGACATGGGTTAACACAGCCTTCCGATTTTAAGAGCTGGTGTGTAGAGAACAAGGTAGAGAGAGTGGCACGCACCGCTCTGCCAGCTCTGGGTTCTGTGCCAGTTCAGCAATGACAGGGCGTCAATGAGGAGCTATTAAACAGACTGCCCTTTTCTTCACTGAGGCGCCTAACTAAGGCACATCTCTGGCAGCAAGAGTTGTGCCAAGGGGGCCAAGTTTTCATGGCAGCTCAGCTGTCTTCTAGCTTTGTGGGTAACTGGGTCCCTTTCTCTTTTGAATTTCTACTTTATAATGGAAATGATGGTGATGATTCTCTCCTTCCTACCTCTTCTCACACAATTGGTTATGGGGCTCAAATGAAGTAATGGGAGGTGAGCACTTGGGGGTCCTGGAGGAGCCGTGCAGCCAGGAGGTGCAATTATCTTGCACGAACAATGAGAAAAATAGGACCAGAATCCTTGTCTCTATGCAAATTTGGAATCCCCCAAGGCCATCAGAAAGGCGATTATATTGACAACTCATTTTAAATTAAGTCTTTCTCTTAGATTTTTGTGTTGGTTTTGTGGTGTTTTGGTTTGGTTTGGGTTTGGTTTGGGTTTCTGTTGAGCAGAATGAAAGCAAAAAGTGGTAGAAAGGACACATTGTGTGGAATGAACGAAAACTTGACTTTGAAGTATCTAATGCTGCTATTATATGCCGACCCCAAAAGGTGCCTATTCAATGACAAGGAACATGGCTTAAGTCAAACATTCTGTATTCATGAGGACAGCAAATGTGTGTGGTGTTAAAGTGATTTAGTTCAATTGACTGCTGGCTGGATGACTGCGCAAGAATACTGCGGCAGTTAACAATGTTGATGGCATTCAGGACAAACATTTATTCTCTAGAGAAGAGAATTTGATCAGGATGATCAAATGCAACGTCAGTTTCTCAATTATTTATGATTTGAGACCCCAGTGCTAGTCATCACAGCTGGTTTTGACACCATTTAATTATTCAAAATAATCAGCTACACCTCTGTATACTTGATCTGACTTAAAATGGGCTTTTGTTGCATCAAAATCATGCCCATGAACAAATCCTGGGCATTTATTTGTGCCCTGTGTCTAGCCTAAAAATAGTAATGCTGTGGCTAGCAGCTGAATTGCCTCTGCTGACCTTGACAGCATCCAAATCATGAGTTGGTAGTCATGGGACTAGAATAGGCAGGCTGAGCAGAAGGGACATGGCACTTCCCGTGCTGTTTTCTGACTCCTTCTGGGGAAAAGTAAGAACCGAAGTTATTCAAACTTGGAAGAAGTGTATATCAAACAGCAGCATAAAGAGAATAAGACAGCTCGAAAACTCACCAGTGTATTTTCAACTTTGAAATTTTGAGAAAAAAATTGAAATATTTTTAAGCAAAACCATTATTCCTTTTTGGTAACCTTGCTAAAAGAGGAACCTGATCACAAGGTAATAGGAAAATAAGGCTATTTTATTTACTTTAAAAAAATTATTTATTTAATAACCACATACTTAGAAGAAGCATTTCATTACAACAGCATTGACATATTCAATAACAATTTCCTGAGCTAAGATGCATCTCTTTCAAAATTGGCTGTAAATTTTTAGGTTTACAGTTGAATTATTACAGTTATACAATATTGTACTCAGTATAAACCCTATAAGACATAAAATTAAATAAGGTTTTAACCTTTAAAAAAGATCTCCATTTCATTATTAAAATACACAGTTTCATATGGAAAATTCATTTTTTTAAAAGTTAAAAGTATTTTTAATGAATCACATGGAAAGCCACTGAGAAATTATAACAACAAAGATGGTCTCTCCCCCTTTGTCAGCATACATATTTACAAGATTTCTAATGGAATTGATATCATCCTCTCTTGGAAGAAAGCTTGCCTTCCTAAATACAAACTGAATTAATTTTTAATGAAGTAATTCAGAAAACCACTAAGTTTTTGAATCTTATATATTGGCAGAAGTTAGATTTGTCTAGTTTTCATTTTGTAAAAGTCATTTTTCAACCCTCTTCTTTCCGTGGCATATGTACACCTATCTTTTTTTTTTTAATCATTGGAAAATAAGGCTATTTTTAAGCAGAGATACAGCAGGCCATAAAAGGAAGAGCAGAAAGAGATTTTATTTGGCACTGAGTAATTAACATAAACCCTTTACCACAGTAGAGAGCAGTAATCTCAACCTCAGGTTTCCACATATGCTTGTATGGAATGAGGGGCAGGTTTACTCTCACAGTCGCTATTTATTAGATCTATTTCTCACTGGCTTCACTGTACAGATGAGGAAACTTTGTAAGAAAACTGAGGCACTGTATGGCCAAGTTTTGAAATGGCAGCAGCAGAGGCTGCAACCAGCGCTGTCTGACTCCAACCCCCACAGTTAACCCTGATGTCTTCCAGAGTCTCATTAAAGTAGTGTCCTTACAATGAACTGAAGTCAAGAGAAGTACATCTGTGCCTTGGCAGGAAAAAAAAAAAAAAAAAGGTGGCGTTGAGGGCAAGGGTCCTCTACTGCAAATTTTAGGTGACTATTACATGCTCTTTCTGTGGTACAACATTTTTAGAAAACATGTAGCTTAAAGAAATCTTATTCATAGCTGAATACAAGCTTACCTAGAGTACTCAAATTACTGATCCTAAAGAGTACAGAGAGATAACTATGTGAGTCAATAATTAGCCACTAAGAAGAGGGAAAACTACTGAGTTGAGTACCTGTCATTCTCTCTCTGACTATAAGGTGTAACGATGAATTAGAATCCTCGATTGATTCATCCAGTAGTGCTGGGAGTAGACCAAAGTGAACTTAAGGAGAAACAGGGTAAAAGAAAATTAGTGCTGTAACACTCAGATTCTGAAGTTGTGCAGAAAGAGGCCCTCCAAATTTTGACTGGGTGTTTCAGTGAATGTTATCCCTGTCCCATCTGATTTTAAAACCTTGAAAGTTTAAAAAGAAATGAGTGTCATATTTTCAGGTGTATGCTACTTAGGGGAGCATGAGAACAGCTCACTTGAGTGATTTTGAACTTTGTCTAGAAATGATGCTGAGGGTCTGCATTTGGTCTTTGTCAGATAAACTTTGGAGACTGAAAAGCTGACGCCATCATACCTCTAAAAGATTTCGCAATCACTGGACAGCCTATCAATCCTTGTCTTAGGATAGTGTTTGCTGATTCCATTCTCGTGGCTACCTGAACTGACTAGCTCACTGGTCTTTCTGGACAATGAGAGTTTTGCTTTTCTAAAGATTACAACCTCTTTCCTTGTCTCCACCATCATAACGAAGAATACTTCCTCAAGTACAGTGCTGGCACACTCTTCCAAGAAAAGGGATTCCAAATGGTCAGAAAACCAATACATGAGTTTGGAAGAATCAGAAGTGTAAGGGCTGGGCACAGGGCTGTGGTCAGAGGCCTGTGGCCCTTGGCACAGTCCTTTGGGAGATAACCTCTACTACAATTAACTGCTGAGCTAAATGTGGGCAGGTTGTTCATCGTAAATCAAGAGCATAGAGCTCCGTCCACCTGAGCCCCTGCACTGAGGGACCAGTGGCCCCAGTTGTTTTGTGTAATGAGTGAAGACTTTAGGGACTACTCATGATGTGTAACAGGAAGTCCCTGGAGGGAGATGTGGTACTGCACAAACCGCTGCCTGTAAGGTGATAGAAACTGACTCTGTTGCATTTCTGAGCCTCTGACGTAATACCAGTTTGGTCTTGAATTTGTTGAAGAAATGTTTAAGTAGAGCCTTTTATAAACAGTTGGAGAGAACAAGCTAGCTAAATTTCATAAATCTGTACCTGAAAAGTAATGTTACAGATCAGCTACAGGATGATAGATGCAGTGTTGTACTTTCCAAAGACGGGTTGGTTTTCTGGAGGAGAAAGGCAGTCACTGGGAGTAGAGACATGGGTTTAGATAGGGAGAGAAAAGAAGGAATTCTTAGTAAGTAAAGAGCAGTATGGCACAGAAGAGGAAAATAACACTTTCCACAGGGCATGGGTTTAAGCTGAGAGCAGGAAAGGAGCTGATAGAAGATGCAATAGGACCCTGAAAAGTTGCCAAAGGAATCTGGAGTCTCTCTAGAGTTAGGAGGACTGGGATCCCAAAGTCAGCTTTGATGGCCTGAGTGTAAGTGTGGGAAGATGCAGCGTGAGGTCTGCTGAGGGCCAGCTCCTTGCTGGACATTGGAGCAGCACAGCAGTCAGTAGTCATGACCGAGATCGGGTAGGTGTCTGTAAAGTAGTCTCTATAACACACCAGGTCCAAAACATTTTTATCCAGGATTCTTTGTCCAATAATCTGAGAGATTTGTAGATGTTATGTGTTTGACTGGAGCCACAGAGGGTAGGACAGCAGGTCTTCCCTCGTTCTCTCAACACCTCCAGACAAGAGGTGATTGAGGCTACATCATCTCCCAAGAATTCTGGTGATATCAAGTGAGAGTGTTTCATGTGTTCTCTTTTTTACTATCCCTTTCTTCCTTTAAACCTCCGGCTTTCTTTTGGCACTTTCCTGTGACTGTGAATCTGCTAATATTCTGTTATCTCTCTTGACTGTTCTAGCTTTGTTATAGCGACTACAAAATGCACTCAAATTACCATCAAAATGTTGAATAGATAACTGTCCTATACATACACCTTTGGTGGTCACTTTAAAGGGTTTTTAACACCTATTAAAATCACATTAACTTTGAAATGCCAGTTCTGATGGAGAAAAGCCACTCCTGGATCAAATGGTATTATCAGCATCTGAATGAGTCAAGAAGTACTACAGGAATTACAGATGACATTATTATCCGTGAGACAGAGTCAGAAGGCCAAAGGCAAACCCCATGAGTTCTAATAAAATCAGATTTAGCATTATTTATGACTAGTCTTTGTTTTCTGTCATTCACATAATTAGAAAAGTGAAATAGAGGTAACGCATCAGACCAAGGGTTTCAGATAACCAAAGGGTTTGATTGGTCATATTGAATGACTGCTTTATAGAGTGTAGACAGCTGCTCACAAGCTGTTCTGGTCCATTACATTGTGGCCAAAGCCCAACCTCAGTCCATGCCTAGGGTAGTCAGAGCCACATGACAAGAGTGGGGGTGGGGGCAGTGGAATCAGTAGCCAAAATGAATCTTAAAGAACTCAAGGCCAAAATCTCTCAGTACCTGAACGTCTCAATCCTAATGGGGTATATGCCAAAGGTATGGCTGTCAAAAAACCAGCAACCTATGGAAGGTGCTGACCTACCGAACACAGATCATGTTCAAAAGTTTTTTGCCTTAAACAAGCGTGCCCCAGGCTTTTGAGGCAATTCCAAAAGGCAGGTGCCAATATTCCAAGTATTGTTGTCATTGCTTATGTTCTTGTTGATGTTAAGATATCAGGCTTGTTATTTTGTGCCCACACTTTTTATCATTTTAGAGAAAAGAGCCAAAGGCAGCCTCAAGGCCTTTTAAACTTCTGTTTGCAAAACTAAGGGTTATGAAGTAGTTTAGCGTACAACAGAAAATAACAGAACTTATGACAGTAGTAGTAAGGGTGGGGAACGGGCAAACACACTTTTCCCCAGAGAGTTGGACTAAATTGACGCCTGTAGGTAGGACTTTTTCTCCAGGGGTAGCTGGGAACACCTACAATTATGAAAAATTGAATACACAGCTTCCAAGTACTGGGGAGTCAGTGAATATGGTTCCTTTTAAGAGATCATAGCCCTTCATTTTTTATACCTTACATTATTTTACTAGAGAGTTATCCTTGCAGAGAGGAAGGGACTACACTGGAAGTAGTTTGTGGATGTACAAGACAATCGGTTCCTGTATTCATTATCCTTAACCTAAATGCTGTGGGAAATATCCATAAATGGGATGCAACTCTGTTATAGGAGTCTGTGGACTCCTGTCCTCCAGTGTGTCTGTTACATAGCAAACATCTTCCTGATGATTTTGTGTTACTCTGCTCCCACTCTTCGAAGCAGCTGCGTACTGCTAATGACTCCCTTTATTAGTTAGCTCCAGTATTGTTTCCTTGGGTTTGAAACACTTAGTGTAGAAAAGTTTGGCTTTTCAACACCCTTGTATTGGGTTAATGGATGATGTTTATATCCAGGGTCAAGGTGGGAGAATAGAGCTGCTTCTACCGCTGTGTTCCCCTAAAGAAAGCTCAGTTTAGTAAAAGTAGAAATAGAATTCACAAATAATTTTATCAGGGCCAAATATATCTGTGCTAGTCAAGATAATTAGCCAGGCCAAATATCACTGTCATTTCGAACTGAGTCTTTTTAGTCTATGTGTAGGACTATGATTAAGAAAATAGGCCACAAGGCACATAAGCACATCACAAACCCTGGTACAGATTGTCCTTGGAAATTCCTGTTCATCCTGTAAGACTCATCCTGAATTGCCATGTTCTATTTTAAGCTTCCCTAAGTTCCTCTATTTTCGCTCCTGTGATTTTCTCAGTCCTCTTCTCTGTTGATCACATTTGGCTAAAAGTATTTTTTTTCTTATAGACTGATGTATTTAAAAAGAGATATTATTTTGTATTCCAACACCTCAAGAAAAGATACTCTTTTATATCCCAGTACCAGCTCAAAAATCTGGAATAAAGTAGATGAATCATGGATTAGTAAAGAATGAATCCCTGTGTCTTCATTTTAGCCTTCATATGCTTGTTATGATTATATTAATAAATGTTCCTGACTTTGAGTTTAGAAAGAATGGCAAGTTCAATGCCAGGGACTGAGCAGGTACTTTGGTTTTAATATACCTGTATCTATACTATGAATGTTTGCACACATATAGAGGAAACACAGAGTCAGATCACCTAAGAAGAGGTCAAGTTTTGGGACCTCGTTAGGTGGTTTCATCATTATACAAACACCATAGAGTATACTTACACAAACCTAGAAGGTCTAGGCCAGTCACCTAACATGGCCTCTTGATGCAATCAAGATACACAGTAAACATGAATATATAAGGCTGTTGCCACTAGAAAGCATACTGTTTCCCAGTATTATTAATGAGTAGAAGGAACACACTCAAAAATGATATTAAATTCTACCCTGTGCAAAATGTGCTACACTTTATGTCCACTTATTTCAACATCTTCACAAACAGCTAAGTTAGTGTGTGTGGTAAGGTGTTCCATAGCTTTGCTGTTGCTAAGCAATGGGAATTGCACCTACAGTGTGATCTTAGAGGACCACTATCATATGTGTAGCCCATGTTGATGAAAATGTTGTACGGTATGTGATGACAGTTTCTTTTCCTTGTTCTAGTGTGTCAAAACCTTGTTTGTTTTCTTCACTAGGAAGTCCAGCGCTGTACAGCTGATATGAACATCACTGCAGAACATTCCAATCATCCAGATAACAAGCACAAAAACAGATACATCAACATTTTAGCATGTGAGTAATAAAATATCTTCAAATGCAAGGAAATTACATTTTCATGCTGTGAACAAGTTAAAGGCCAAACAGTACCAGAGGGCCAAAAAAGGCTGACATTTGCAGTCTAATCTCTTATGGGCCCATCTTCCAAGGTATATACAGAAATGAGGACATTTTCCATCCATGTAGTCTGTTAATGGGCTTTCAGATCTCAGGGCTTAATAAAGTGACTGGAGGAAACTCTTCCAGGCTTCACTATTTTCATGATGTCCTATCACATTTTGGGAGCCAAGGTACGAATGTCACTTCGCTATCTTGACATTGTTTTTAACAGTGAGAGGCAAGTCTTTGTAATGTAAACACAAATTAGGAGAACTGAATCAAATAAGCCCAATTTCAAAATCTGTTTTAAGCTATGTAACTCAATGTGTGTACACTTTGATATGAACGATAGAGACACCAATGTTTATGTTTAGCATGTACCATGATAAGGCCAACATTAGACAGAATATTATATAGAATGAATTTAAATTGGAGCACTTAAAAGTTGAAGACTACTGTCAAGATTTTTTGAATAAAACGTTAATGAGTTATAATTTGCATGCCATTTAAAGTATATCATTCAGAAATGTACAATCATAATTGAAATCTAATTTTCAAATATTTCTAGCAAACTAGCCAGAAGCTCCGTGGCTGTTACCTGGCATCCCTCCCTCTTCCCACTCCGTCAAAAGTACTCCCTTCCTTTCTGCCTTTGAGGATTTGCATAAGCTGTACGTTTCCTGCAAATGGAATCATTTGTGTGACCTTTGGGTCTGGCTTCTCTGACTTGGCATGTTTTCAGAGCTCATCCGTGCTGCACCTGTATTCCATTCCCTTTTATAGTTAAATAATACTCCTCATATGGGTATATGGTATTTTGGTTATTTAGTCATCATTTGATAGATGTTTGGGTTTTATCCAGTTTGGGGATATTATTGAATAATACTGCTGGAGCGTTCATGTACCACGTTTTATGTAGACAAATGTTTTTGGCTTTCTTGGGTATTTTCTTAGGGGTAAAGTTGCTGGGTTATGGATGAGCCTGTGTTCAGCAGTTAGAGGAACTGCCAAACTTTTTCCAAGGTGGCTGTACCAATCTACATTGCCACAGACCATGCATGAGAGGCCCAGTGTCTCCATAGCCTCAAGACACTTGACACAAGACATATCCTGCTTTGTGGGTTTTTGGTAGGAGTCCTAGTGATGGGTGTGAAGTGGTACCCCACTGGTACACATCTCCCTGATGATTACCTAAGTGATGATGAAGGACCAGCACTGCTATGTGCTCACTGACTGTCTCCATATTGTCTTTAAGAAAAGTCTGTTCTAGTCTTTTATCCCCTCTGCTTCATTTTTCAGCTGAACTTTATCTTTTCATGACTGAGCTTTGTGTATTGTGGGATCCCCTATCCAATATATAGTTTACTTTCTCTCACTTTTTTTTTTTTTTGCACTGTCTTTTCACTTTCTTGATGGTGCCCTCTAAAGCACAAATCTTCACAATTCGAACAATGTCCAACCAGACCTATTTTTTGTTGTTGTCTTTGTGTTTTGGTATCATCTCTAACAAAGTGTTGCTTAATGGGAGATCAGACCAAGATCTATTCCTGTGTTTTTATCTTACTAGTTTTATGGGTTTAGCTCTTATAATTATGTCCTTGATCCATTTTGAGCTGTTTTTATATGTGGTCCAAGGCAGGAGTTCATCTTTAGTCTTTGGCATGTGGATATCGCTTGAAGGTTTCCCCCCACTGAACTGGCTTGGCACTCTTATTGACAGCCATCTTACTGTAACATAACGAGTTGTCTCTGGGCCCTGAATTCTAGTCTGCTGATGTCTTTGTCAGTGTTACTGCCAGTACTACACAGTTGTGATTATTGACAGCCATGTGATGAAGTTTGAAATTGGAAATTGAGAGTCTCCCCTTCAAGACTGTTTAGCTACTTGTATTTTCATATGAATTTTAGCACCAACCAGTCTCTTCTACTATAGAATATGGGGGTAGGATTTTGACAGAAATTGTACTGGACGTGAGATTAATTTTGGAATAACTGCCTGTTTAACAGTATTATCTTTTGGACCATGAAGATGAATATCTTTCCTCTCAGTTCTTTTATTTCTTTCAATGGTACTTTATACTTGCATTGTATAAGCATTTGCTGCTTTCAGGAAACGTATTCCTTTTTCTTTTTAATACTTTAGTGTAAATGAAATTACTCCCTTAATTTTACCTTTAGATGGTTCATTTTCAGTATAAAGAAGTAAAACCATTTTTATGTATTAATCCTATTTCCTGCAACGTTGTTGGACCTGTTCATTCTAATAGTTCTCGTTCATGCTTTGGGACTTCTATATATGGGATCATATGTGTGGATAGTTTAATTTGCCCTGATTTCTGAAAGAACTCAAGTTGTTTCTGAGTAGGACTAATGGTTTCATTTATGTGAATGAGCAAAGAGGAGATGAAAAGACAAGAAGGAAGACTTTCCTCCACCTTTGAACGGACTGACTTAAGCAGTATTTGTTGGCTAACCCCATGAAGGCTCACCGTGCTTTGTGAGCACTTGTCCACATACGTACTTTCTTCCATGTGGATCAGGCAAAGAGCTGTATGTACCTTACATGCATCCACACGCATCATTCTCTCCAGTGCAGCCAGGTTTAAAGTTGGAAGCAAAAAAAGAGGCAGACAGACAATGCAGCATTCGTATGATTCACACAGTGTCTTGGCATTTTGCTGGAAAGTATCAGCTCTGCTTCAGAAGTCAGGGCTGGGTTTCGAAGTTCTCGTAGCTACTCAAGTTCTGTCATATCACCTGTCACTGTCATCTGTTCCCCTTATTCATGCCATTCCATAGCAAAGGACACCACAGAATTGTCACAGAAACCAGTAAAATCAGAGCCTGGACAAGCCAGAAACATGAGAGTGGGCACACACTGGCTCTTTCAGACCTTAGGCTCTCTGGAGGCAGCTGATAATCCCTCCTTACGTAGCAATGGAATGCCCTACAAGTAGATGTTCTCAACTCAAAATGACATTCACTGTTTTATATTTATAGTACTAGAAAGGGGACGGAGGTGTGGATCGTCAAAGACCCTTGAGTTTTGTTTTGAAGGAGAAAAGAATGAAATTTTGGAGGATCATATAATAGTTTTACTGGAACAAACTACACTTGTATCTCTCAGATACCGCTCTCAGATGGAAGTAGCCAGGTGCTTCTGAGATGGGTTTGATGGTCTGTTTTGTAGCTGCTTGCCACAGTATTGTCTTGTTTTGTGTTTAGAATGCTGCTAGTTTTTTTAATTATACATTTTGTTTTTGCTTTTTTTTCCTTATTCTTTATAGATGATCACAGTAGGGTGAAGTTAAGACCTTTACCAGGAAAAGACTCTAAGCACAGCGACTACATTAATGCAAACTATGTCGATGTAAGTCAGAATGTTCTTATACTTGTTTCTGAAAGTTGAAGTGTGCCGCAGAGGTGGCTGGATGTGTCTTTCACTGGAAACACAGCCTGTTCGGTGTGGAAGGGGCTTGAATTATTTACCACTCCTCTATGACACTGCTTTCCCTCACTGTGCTATATCACCTTTGAAGGGTTACAACAAAGCGAAAGCCTACATTGCCACCCAGGGACCTTTAAAGTCTACATTTGAAGATTTCTGGAGGATGATTTGGGAGCAAAATACAGGGATCATCATCATGATTACAAACCTTGTGGAAAAAGGAAGAGTAAGAGCCTCCTGCCTTACTATCTTTATAAATATTTTGTGAGTGAATATGCATTAGTAGGTAGCTGCTGTGGGGTAGGAGCTGGACTGGGTGTAAATAAATGGAATGGTGTGCTGTCCACTCTGGTTTGCCAGTGGTATGTTTAAGAGCTAAGACATAGTACGTGTGAATTAAATGTGAAAATACAGATGTATTAGAGGACGCATCCTCTACTACGAAGATTTTAGAGGCACTCATATTTGAGGTGAGAAACAGGCTGAAAGGAGGAAGAAAGGACATTCTAAGAATAGGATGCAGACACCAAAGAGCTGAGAAGTTGGAAGATGCATGGTGTAAAAAAAGAGACTACTACAGGGGAAAGCACAGGTTGCCTAAACAGATAGACCTATGGAGAACACGGCCGAGTGCGCTGCATTTAGAGCTTATGTAGATGTAAACACCAAGTCTTGGGATCACTGCTCAAAAGCATCACTGCCTTTGGTGACCTAAGATATAACACAGAGATCCCCAATTAGAAAAGACCTTCTGTAAACCCAGCATAAAGGATACTTAAACTCTGTTTAACAACATATCCTGCTCATACTTTAAGTACTTTTTAAAGTATACATGCATTTAAAGATGATCACAAATACTAGGCCCATGGTTTAGGTAATGTTAGACACACTTATCCCAAGTCATCTGCTTATTAGAGGTCACACCTGCCTTAAATCATCTCAGCCCATACACTGTTTTAGTCAAACAAATGACAATATTATCTGTGTCTCAACAGTGTCACTTGCAATTTGTAACTTTTTTCTTCTTATAGCGAAAATGTGACCAGTATTGGCCGACAGAGAACAGTGAGGAATATGGGAACATTATTGTCACCCTGAAGAGCACAAAAGTACACGCCTGCTATACCGTTCGTCGTTTTTCAGTCAGAAACACAAAAGTGAAAAAGGTGTGTCGGGAACTGGGTGAACTATCAAGGCATTTCTGACATGGTGTGAAAATTCTGTTCAATGAAGACAATACTTTTCTCTTTGAGGCAGGGTCATATGTAGCCCGGCCTAGTCTCAAACTGGCTATATGAATGAGAACCTTGAACTTCTGGTTCTCCTGCCTCCACCCTCTGGGTGCTAGGATTCAGGCATGAACTACACGAGGTGTATGCAGTACTAGGCATTGAACCCAGGGCTTTGTGCATACTAGGCAAGCACTCCACCAACTGAACTGCATCCCCAGCCCTATACTCTTTAAAAAAAAGATTTTTATTTTATCTATGTTTTGCCTGCATATATGTAAGTGTATCATGTTCATACAGTGCCTGCAGAGGCCACAAGAGGATCCTTGGAACTGGATATACAGGTGGTTTTTAGCCACCATGTGGATGGTAAGAATTGAACTTGGTCCTCTGCAAGAGCAGCCAGTGCTCTTAAGAGCAGAGCCACCTCTCCAGCCCCTACAAGTCATTTCGACTACCACTGGTGTATGACATGAAAGGTACTGGCAAAGCACCTAACTGGACTAACTTCTTTAATCTCTTCACAAACAAGGCTTCATTTTTAAAACAACAACAACAAAAAAAAGTCATGTCCTGTTAGGTGTGACTAAATTTGCTGAGTGTTATCCAAACCTGTTTGTTGTTTCAGCTTTTAATCTCAGTTTCCTGACAGCTTCAAAGCAGTATTTCCAGAAGCATATCCCAAGGAATTCTAGTCCTGAGAGAGAGCTATTTAAAACTCAGGTTCCACTAGTAATGGGACATGAATGCTATGTAATATGCAGCATTTTTAGAAATGGGTAATGAACACGTGACTAGTGTTTGAGTTAGTGTTTCCTCATGTCACTTAGCTGTCAAATCCTTTTCTATAGAATGACTAGTACCCTAAGAATCACACCGTGGAAATGCTGCTTTCAAGTTATCTCAGCGCCCCCCGCCCCCGCCCCCTATCCACTGTTCCAATAAGAATCACCACAGCAATATCTTGAAGTCTAGACAGCAGCTCAGGAAGAAAATATTTACTCTACAGAGCCTTGGGTCTGAAAACTTTCTGGAGAAGTGTTTTTTGTCTGTTGTTATGGACATCTTTGAGAATGAGAGTGCCTGTGAGGAATCCATATTTACTCAAATTTTATGCACACTTTTGGTGGCTCTGAAGCCCGATTATATTACAAGATTAATAGACCCTTCTGGGTATAGTTATTTGTAGTAATAGCTGAAATAATTTGAATTAATATCAGTTTGTGTTCTTTATCACAGAACTCCTGGCTGCTTTAAACTAATATATACTGTAAAGTTTACAAAACTCATAGGATCCTCCAGTGTTTGAACAGGCCCAGTTGCCCTTCTTTTACAGTTTAATGAGTAAGGACTTTGGATATTCTATATTCTAAGCAGAGAAAAAGCCAAATAATTTAAAACCCATTATGGCCGTTTATGCACAGGGCCAGAGGCCTTTTTAAGCTTTACCGTTGATTACCCACCATAAGTCATGAAAGACATTACCATCTTCAAAGGTCCTAAAGCAGAAGCCTATCACCGTGAGTGATCTATTTGGAGAACCTTTTCATCCAAAGCCTCTAAAATCTGAAAAGCTCAGTCTTCTAAATGAAAGTCACAGATGAACAGAGCATTGCCTCTTACCCTAGACCGGTTCATTTCACAGTAGGAACCTCCCTTCACTTCCTGTAGATTGCATGACAGCAAAGAACTCCCTAGCTCAGGGTGGTCCAGACTGGGCAGTGGAGAGGAAGTGGGAATGGCAGATGAATGTAAGCACATAGTAGGGCAGAAAGTCAGGCTATGGAGGCCTTGTAGGAAAGTTCAAATGTGCTTTGGACTTTTTTGAGTCCAAAAATCTGGTATTAAATTTATCCTTGGAACAATTTCCTTTTCTTCTGAGAGGTAGACCTGTCCCACATCCATTTAGACAGTGTCTCCATGTAGCAACCAGAAAGTTGGTCACAAACAGAAACACCTTAGCCCAAGAACAGCAGAGATTCAAGGTCATGTTTTCTGACGCTGTCACATTATTCTTATCCTTTTGCACTTTTGTACAGGGCCAGAAGGGAACTCCCAAGGGCCGTCAGAATGAGAGGACAGTGATCCAGTATCACTACACGCAGTGGCCTGACATGGGAGTTCCTGAGTACGCCCTCCCAGTCCTGACCTTTGTGAGGAGATCCTCAGCAGCCCGGATGCCTGACATGGGTCCTGTATTGGTACACTGCAGGTAGGGCCAGACTATAAAGTGAATGGGGGGTGGGGGTGGGGGGGAGCTTGTGAACATGACCTCTAACTCAAAGCAAAAGTAAGTGCCTGTGGTCCAAGTGCTCTTGAGTAAGCCTCGTACAGTCTTAAAGCTGTCCCATGAAGATGTCATCTGGAGAAAGTGAAAAAGATTCTGTAACTGTGAAAGAATCTCAACTAGATAGATGAGTGTCTACTTTTTATCAAATCATCTTTCTAATAAAGTCCCTGTTATTTTCTGGGAAATAATAGTCTCATCCTAATAAAAATTTGAGTGTAGACGAGAGCTTTCCACAGTAGAGATTCTGATATTTCTCTAAATGGCTTTTCTGAGGGATCCCTCTAAATAATAATAAAGTACTTATAAGAAAGGACTTTTTAAAATTTCTAGTTTATATGTGCTATGTAAAAGACCTCTTAGAAAAACACTTGAAAAGCCTTGTATAAATCGCATTTTCTCTGAACTAACTTTAGATAGTTGTTTAAAATGCCTCTGTTGTATTTCATTTGTGATTGTATTTATGACCTTTTTCTCCTGCTTTAGTATTCATGTTATTTATTCTGTGGCCGATGTTACATAGCTGCATGACATTTTCTCAGCATGGGGCGGGGAGGTATTCTTACATGCTTTCACGAAACAAGACATTTGCAGAAGTTGGAAAACATTCTGTGTTTAAAGTCCTATGGGAACTGTACTTTTTTGCTAATGCAGTTTGCAACCACTGAAGTGGAGATAAGTGTCTGCTAGATGAGGAAGCTTCTAGGGGCATTCTGCCAAAACCGGCTTGCTATTCAAAACTGATGATTTATTTCCGATCTTCCTGGGTATCTTTTTGTTGCTGATGTTACTTTTTTCGATAGGGTCTCCCTATAGCCCCAGCTAATCTGAAACTCACTATGTAGACTGTTCTGGCCTTGATCCTACAGAGATCTATCTGATGAGTGCTGGGATTGAGGGTATGTGCCACCATGCCAGACTTTCTTGGGTATCCTTTAAAATAGCAATTAAGAAAATAAATATTAGAGGTCAAGTTTTCTGGATGTACTCTTCTCATCTTTTAGTAAAGGAAAATACCTCTTTCAATAGAATTTTCTAATGCTGAGAACATAGTTTCTTAGGCTGCCTGAGAGAAAGACTGGGAGAGTTGTATAGAAAAGGGATTTAGTCAAAGGATCAGTACTCACAGAGTCATTGAGAGAGCTGGAGAACAAAATGCAAGTCTTTTTTTTTGGTTTTTTTTAATTGACCTTTTTCATTTCATACAACAATTCTTAATCAAATTTAGACTCCCTCTCCCATCCCACCAGACCTCATGTATTCCACCATACGTGTTAAATCCTATCCAAACATTTGTACCCAGATGTCCTTCAGTGTAAATTCATCCACTAGAGTCTATGCAGCCCATATAGAGATCATATGTAAGGTATGCTCCCCCTCACCCAATAGCAATCAGTCTCCAATAGTCTCAGTCTAGTGCCACCCAGTACCCATGTCTGGGCCCTTGTTTAATTGAGTTAGCATGGGTCCTGTGCTCGATGCCACCATTGCCACAAGTTCATATGTGTAAGTTTCCAGTACCCTAAAAGTCTCTTCTTCCCTGTGTTCGTGAACCAGCCCCAGCTCTTCAATCTTTCCGCCTCCTCTTCCACAGTGGTCCCTGAGTCCTGAGTCGTGGGTGGGTGAGGTTCGGTATAGGAGTCCTATCCGAAGCTATACACTCTGTAGTTTCTTATTCTTTAAAACTTGGCCAGTTGTGGCTTTCTGTGTGCACCATACTCTGTTGTGGAGGAAAGCTTTACTGGTGAGAGTTGGGGGATGCACTCATTTTTGCTCTACCCCTTGTTCCACTATGTTCCATGAATGCAAGTTTAAATAGCAAGGAGGTGACTGCTGCAGACTCCTCCCAGCCCTGCCTCACCGAGCCCCTGCCTGTGTGTGAGCTGCAGAACCTACGAAGGCACAGGTTCTCATTTGTCATCCTACAGCAAACAGTACTCTGTGCTCCTCATCAAGAGTACATGATTTTGGATGCTCTCTATATGAATATCCTATGTCATTTTTAGTAGGCGCTCTGGACAGTAGGATTATTTCTAAGCTCATGAGCATAAAAGTACTAGCTGAGTGCCCTCATTTCTTACAGTGCTGGTGTGGGCAGGACAGGCACCTACATTGTCATAGACAGCATGCTGCAACAGATCAAAGACAAAAGCACAGTTAATGTCCTGGGATTCCTGAAGCATATCAGGACACAGCGTAACTACCTCGTCCAGACTGAGGTAAGCAGTGGCTGTTGGTGCTTTCAAGACATCCCAGCGCGTGCTTTCACTGAAAGGTAAAGGAAACCTAGGAGAAAAAATTCATTCTCTCAGGGCTTGAAGGAATTTACAGGTTTGTAGTAGGAGATCTCCAGAGGATGATGCTATTCTTTGAATCACAGTCTCCTATTTCTGTGTCTTAACATTTGGATTGTTCATAACTACTCAAGCACTTAGGAATCAGGTAAAGTTGTGTCAAGAGGGTCTGTTCCAGGTTATGGGGAGTTAAACATGTTGCCTAGAAACATAAAAGGAGAACTTAGTTGGTTCTTAAGCCTTTAGTTGAACATGTATCTCTCAACCGAACCACCTGTTCTAGGCATGGTATAGAATATAGACCTAAACTTAACACAGATCTCTACCTGAAAATAAATTATAATGGGTTGGTAGGTGAATGAATATTGGAGCCAATCACTTCCCTATAAATGCTTGAAGGAATTCACTGTAGGTCCCTAATCATGGTAGAGTTGATCTAAAGTAAACTTTATGAATGGCTACTTGCCCCTTAGCAGCTGTCCTCAGTGACCACCATACATTGGACCTTTTAGGAGCAGTACATTTTCATCCACGATGCCTTGTTGGAAGCCATTCTTGGGAAGGAGACCGAAGTATCTTCCAATCAGCTGCACAGCTATGTGAACAGCATCCTCATACCAGGAGTAGGAGGAAGGACCCGACTGGAAAAGCAGTTCAAGGTAGTGCTTTCAACAATGCCTTTAGAGAAACAAGGAATTAGAAACCACCTTGAGTTTGGGGTCCTGTCCTCTTTGTATTCATGTAGACACTGAAATGGAGTAGTGTTTTTACTCCTCAAATGTATTGTCTAGGAAAGTTTTGACCTGTGTATATGGTGGTGAGAGTAGTAGATGTGGATCACTGCTCTATTGTCTGATGAGCTATTTCTGCTTTATCTGAACATGGACACCTCTGGCCACAGTGACATAAGACTTTGCATCAGTTTTTTCTGGCTCCCCCCAAACACTGTATTTTCTTAAGTATTCAATGATTTTTTTTAAAGGATAGTTATTTGATGCAAGTATGGTAGCATATGCCTATAATCCCAATATTTGGGCCTAGGGAAGAGGATCACAAGTTTAAGGTCAGCCTAAGTTACATAGTAAGAGAGAGAGAGGAAAAAAAATCAGTATCTGTGCCTATACTCTAGTTAAAATATACTTGTCTGGAAAACCAATACAGAAAGCAACTTGGGAAATTTTTAAAAAGTTACTAAATATTAGAGACAAGTTACAGTTTCCTAAAATAATTAGTTGCTTTTTTTAAATGGAATATAAAATTTAAAGGTAGATAAGGCTTATGTGTAATTGATTGAAGATATAAAAGAGAGACTCTAAGGACTACTAAGTAATTAAGAGCAGAAGTGATCAAAGAATGGTCACTTTCAAACACGGCCTGCCTGCCCAGTGACTCCGTGCTCTCCCTTACTAGCCTCTCCCCGCCCTTTCTGCTCCACTTTTTGCACATTGTTCTATGTAAAGCCTCGTTCTAAGACTCAAAACACAGGACAAGATCAATATGTGCAGTACAAGTTTTCATGGTAAAACTTTCCATAGACTCGGAAATCTTCCTTTGAATCTCAGCTGAAGAAATGAGAAAGCCAAGCAAGTTATACCAAGTGGTATGAGATGAAAACAGGTAATGTCGCTGAATCAGTCATCACACTATTCTAACTTCCAGCTCTCTTCTTAGCACCCTAGCCACTGCAAAAATCACTTGAAGTAATTAATTGATGGCACAGTGTATCATTTTAAATGTATAAAATTAGTTCTCACAAAACATTGCCGACATTTAAAAAATTTTTTCCTTCGTTTTTCATTTCTGCAATATATGAAAGTTTCAAAGTCTATGGAAAGTTTGTGAACACTAAAAAGATTCATCTCATTTTGTCCATTCTGACTCAGAATGAAAAACTCATTTACATATAGAGCAGTGTGCCAAAAAACAGAATCGAAGAGTAATGAAAACACCCCTAAGTCAGACATCTGCAATCTAAAATGTTCTGAATGACATGATGTCACGGGAAAATTCTGTTACACAAAATCATTGTTTCATGCACAAAAATTTTATAAAGTTACCATCAGGCTATGTGTATGAAACAAATTTTATGTCTAGAATTGAATCCTATGCCTAAGATATCTGTGCTGGTAGATGATTGCTTGATAGACAGGCAGATAGACAGACAGACATGAATCCTAAACAGCCTGAAACTCTGCTGGTCCCAAGCTTTAGCTACTCAATCTGTGTTTCTTTATATATACTTTTTAAAAAATTCACTGAACAAATCAGTCTATTGTATTGGAAACTAGGTAATTGGTTCTTTTATATGCACTAATCATTTTTGAACTCAAGTACAAGTAAACAGAAACTCAGAAAAGGAAAAACCTCTACAGCCCTGGACAGTAGTGCAGTTAAATACAGGCAGGCAATACAATCATACACATAAAATATAATAATAATAAATCTTTCTTCATCGTAAATATACCAAGAACCTATCAAGTACTTTATCTTTAAGAAGCATGATTAGCTCTTAGTTACATTAAGTAGACTTGTTGAGTCTTCTGTGCCATTGAGGAATTATAGACAAAATTCCTAACAGCAGTGATGTCATGTAACAGAAAAATCCACACTGTTCATCAACTCCATGCCAGATGCCTGGGGCCTGACAGCAGACACGAGTCAGGTACACAACCAAGGCCGGGGTGAAACATGGGAGTGTTCTCTGGAGCGCAAAATTATTTTTGTTCTTTATTCTAAATTTTTGAGCAGGTACTAGCAATTAGACCCTTGAATAAAGACTAAACCGTTGCTTTTTCTTTTCAGCTGATCACACAATGTAATGCAAAATCCGTGGAATGTTTTAGTGCTCAGAAGGAGTGTAACAAAGAAAAGAACAGGAACTCTTCAGTCGTGCCATGTAAGATCTTATGTGAATGTTTTCTAAACTGGATTTTATGTATCACGTAATGACACAGTTTATGTATCACATAATAACACAGTATTTATCCAAGGGAACATGTTCTAGTCAGTTCAACTAAGGCAATTTGAGGCAAATAAGGGGAATGGATTTGGGTGCCAGCAAGCACTCCATCTATCTGATTTGATTTATCTTGAAATGCCACAGTGTTTCAATTTAAAATTATGATAAAGTCATTATTACTGTGGCATTAAAACTTTGGGCCCTATGTTAATCTGGACAACTAGAACTACATTATTATTATTTATTATTATTATTACTATTATTATTATTGCTATTGAGATCTGGGTCCTGTTGATTCGTGGTGACCCTTATATACATAACTCAGGGCTTAGCAGAGAACATTTTATATTTTCTCTAGACAAAGGCATTGGTGATAGTGATCCGTCTTTACTGAAAAAGGCCACGGCTCTCTCAGCCCTTCATGGAGAGAAGGACATTAAGAGGATTAAAGAAAAAGAGCAGAGTATAATGCATTGGTGTAACTGCAGGAATGTTATAAACCAGGGTCAAGTTGTCTGAAATCCTCTGCCATGTCTGTACTATGATGTGCTGTGAAGCCCTCTCCTATGGTGAAATTTTAATTCTACAATATCTGTCCTGTAGCAAAATTTTGTTTTACATTCTACCTTACCTGATAACACTTTAGCTTGTTTAAATATGTTAGTCTTAGAAAGACAAACCAGGGAGCCATGTCATTCACCCAGCAAATCCTAGGAAGAATTGCTGGTTCCTTTGTATAAGAAGGTAAATGTGGTGTTATTGTGTTTTTTTTCCATATGATAGCTGAGCGTGCTCGAGTGGGACTTGCACCATTGCCTGGAATGAAAGGAACAGATTACATTAATGCTTCTTATATCATGGTGAGAGTCAACCGTTAACACCTTTCAGTTTAATTGACTGTATTTATGATTAAGGAGCACATACCACTTATGTGACTGATTTCATTTTTGAAACAATTTCTCAATGTGTAACATCAAAAATACAGAGATTTCTGTGTGTTGAAACTTTTAACAAAGGACACCTAAACAGTGGGGGTACAAAAATACTTAAATTAAGCAAAATGCTTTTTAGGGAATTAATTTTATTGTTAATTTCACCCATCTAGCCTTTGAATAAATGTTGAAATTACTGTTAAGTAAAAACAGCAGGGGTAACTTGAAGTGCATTGCATGTGGAGAGAAAATTGTCTGCACAATGTTCGCAGAAGTACATCTTAAAATTAGCCAAATGCACTGAATGCCTTTCTCAATTATTTTAGTATAGCCAAAATACTGCTGTCTCGTTTCATGAATTTATTGTACTACCCCCAAGTTATAGTGAAACACATGTAGTCACTGATTTTTCTTCTCCCTAACCGAAGGGCTATCACAGGAGCAATGAATTCATTATAACCCAGCATCCTCTGCCACATACTACGAAAGATTTCTGGCGAATGATTTGGGATCATAATGCACAGATCATTGTCATGCTGCCAGACAACCAGAGCTTGGTGAGTAAGGCACATCTGCTATGTATTAATGAGCCCATGGGGCTGTTGTGTCTGTGTGCCCTGGCCAGGGGGTTTCAAAGTCCCAGCACTGTCCCTCTCACTTCCGTTACTTGATTCTCTAATGCTGTTAATACTGCTCTTCAACCCTGATATACTGGATGGTGTATAGATTTGGATAAAGGTCCTTTTAGTAAGCTCCTTGATATAGCTTTAGACTCACTTCGCAGCCACTGCATGCCACCTTTGAAACACAGATCATTTATTTATGGTATATGAAACCATTTACTTTCTATGAATTAACTCAACAGCTGAAAAAACTTACAGAATGAGCGCGCCTAAGAGCATGCAACAATAATTAGAGCGAGAATCTGAGCCTGAGTTATCTGCCTGTCCAGAGTCCCTGCTTTTAATCATTTCAGCTTGTTTCCTCCCACCGCATCACAGAAATGGGTCTCAGAAATACTAAGAACATTTTCCCATTCCATAGTCGAATCCACAGCAAGGAAGAGATAGGAAAAGCTATTTTAATCCACCCTCTTTAAGTTTTTATGCCACTACCTCTTTTCTCTCCCTTAGTTCTCTATAAGATTTAAAGATTCTATAAAGGGGACAGGTGAGTACATTTATAGATCAGAACTACATGTTTCTGCTTGGATCCCATGCATACATAAATTTCAGAATTAGCTGATCCTGCAAAGTTACTATGTAGACATGGAGCCTACAAGATTTAAGAAAAAGAAATCAGTGATGACCTGCCTCTAAATGTCAGATTAATGAGTTTTTAATCAAAGAGCAGCCTGTGATTGAACCCCTGGTCTAGCTGACAGCATTTGACTGTGTGTCCAAGCAGTAGGAACTTTGCTAAGTTTGTCTAATTTTGCTTCAGCTTCATGTACCAAGGCTGCTTCTGTATGGTAGAATGGCAGCAAAGTTGAGAATCCTAAGCTAAAAACTGGAGTGTAAATTTTCAAATTAGCTGGCAGCAGGGGCCCATTCTGATTGGCATGTAGAAATGTCATTGAGGCATTGAGGGTTGAAACATTGAGGGTTTGTTGGATGAGTCAGTATTTTGTTACTGTCACTTAACAGAGGACAATCACCACAAAAATTCTCCCCAGGGGCTTATTTGCATGGCAAAGCTAGGGGTCAAATGGACCCAATAAGGAGGTATATATTCTATAGACAGAGGGTACAGCAACTGCCATGGAACATGGCATCTCAGGGGCTCTCTGATGCCAGGCTAGAAGACTACACCATTTTTCCTAAAACTGGCATATTTTTGTTCTTATCTTTTTTACTGCTACTATAGCTGTACAAGACTCCCTCTCTCTTCCTTCCATCTCAGTGTGTAGCCCTGACTGGCCTGGAATTCACTACAGATAGAAACCATGCTAGCTTCAAACTCATAGGGATCTGCCTGCTTGTCTCCCAAGTGCTGGGATTAAAGGTGTTGAGCCACCAAATAACACTAATGTTCTTATTATGTTTATTTTATTTGTATGAGTGTATTGACTGCATGTGTATAGGTGCACCCGTGTCATGCAATGCCCGAGGACTGGGACTGGAGTTATAGACTCTTGTTAGCTGCCATGTGGGTGCTGGGAATTGAACCCAAGTCCTCTGCAAGAGCAGTCAGTGCTCTTCACCACAGAGACATCTCTTTAGCCCAAGACTAAAATTTTTTAAGTGGCCTAAAAGTCACTAGCTCCTAACTCAGAAAACAACACTGTTATCAATGCATAGATATCTTTATATATAAATGTATATTTGTCAAAGCCAGGTGTGGTAGCACAAGCCTGTACTCCCAGAATTTGGGAGGTAGAAGCAGGAGGATCAGGAATTCAAGAAAAAGGGAACAAGCAACTTAAGACTATGCAGGTCTTTGGGAGTGGGGTGCAGGGACTTGCAGGGGTTTCTGTAAGAATCAGCCCACCATCCCCTTCCAAGCTAGGGTAGTTACTGGCAGAAGAGAGGGACAGGGAAGGAGGTTGTAAAGTTTCTTTTTGAGGTCCCTACTTGGCCACTGCCAGGGGTAACCAGTGAGTAGTCAGTTAAAGAATATTAGGTGATTGATACACATCTCTCGTGGTTGACAATTACTGGGGGTGCCTAGGGCAGAGAAGACAAGAATCTAGAAAAACAAATTACATTACTTCTAGAAACCAAATTACCATAGTTACAGGAATTGTCACAGTTCAACAAAGATGGTGGCACTTAACAAAATGGCATGGACCTGGCTGACATATATAATGTGGGTACGTGTGTGTATATACCATGAAACCCAAAAGCCTGCTGAATTAAGAGGTAGCACTTGGAGAGCTGAGGCTATAGCTCAGTTGGCAGAGTGCTTGCCTAGCATGCATGAAGCCCTGGGTTCCATCTCCAGCACCACATAAAACCAGGTGTAGCATGTGCCTGTAATTTCAACACGTGGTCGACAGAGGCAGAAAAGTAAGGAGCTCAAGGTCATCCTTGGCTATATAGGAAGTTCAAGGCCAGCTTGTTCCATGAGCTTCTGCCTTCAAAAAAAAAAAAAAAAAAAGTAGCATTTAATTGTTTTAGTGTCTCAAGTTGAATTCCCTAGTTCAACTTCTCTTTTCAGAAAGGTTTTATTTTTTCTTGCCTTTGTTTTTAGCCATAATTAAAATCCTCTTGATAGCCTTTAAACTAATTAGATCACTACCTATTCATAATATATTTTTAAAATATATAGTTTCATATTGTTTCTGTTTTCAAATATGGAAATTAAGGCCCAGAAATAGCAAGCATGGGATAGACAGAATACTAAATTAATTTTTGCATATTGGTTAGATTCTGATGCCCTGACCATCATAATTATAGATCCTGATTCTGTTTATAGGGTCATACTTCCATTTCCTTGAACAAAGCATAATAAAACTTATAACAGTTACAGACTTCTTTTGTATAGACTAAACCCATTGCTAATCTGCTTCTCCTTATGCTGAGCTTTAAAAATAAAAATGTACTTGGCAATAATCTATATTGAAACTTGAAAGGGTGATAAGTCTTATTGGACTGTTGGCTCATTTCTAATGCAACAGTGCAAGATTAAACAAAGCCTTCTTTGTTTTGAACATTATTCCTGACTTCAGTGATAGTAAATAGGCATTCTCAGTGAAACTTTCATGAAAATCTACATACTACAGGCAAACTGGAATTTTTTGTGTGATCTAATTAGAAAAGCAGGGAGAGTATACATCATCATAATCATTTCTCACAAGGTCTCTAACCATTACATTTTTTTAGGCATTCATAGTTTTCAGGGATAGAATTCAAGTATGAGGGCTGAGTTTCTATTTTTAATGTTGAAATGGATGAGAATGCAAAGCTTGCCTGATTCAAAGCTGAAACACTTCTGTGTTCTCTCCTCTTCAGATCTAACATTGACAGGGCAACTTAGCTGTTAAAAAGTACCTTGTATGTGTAGCCTGCATGCTTATTTATGCACAGCATCCTTCCTAAAAGGTCCACTCCTTTGCTGTTTATCAGTAATGTGGGTTTTAGACAATTTAAGGACATCTCTGACCATGTCCTCATTCATAAAGACAGATGGTATAAATCCCATATCAAGCGGCTATCACCCAAAATTTATAGAGAACTTATACCACTCAGGAAAAAATAACCCAAATAAAAAGCAGACAAAAATATGCCTTCAAGCATGGCAAAAGTGACCAGCAGGTGTATAAAAAGCCACTCAGTATTAGTCTCAGAACTGTTATGAAATATCACCTCTCTTCCACCCAGTAGGATGGCTGTTATAAAAAAAATGAAAGAATAATGCTGGTGAAGAAAAAAAGGAACTCTTGCTGAGCACGTGGCTCTAACCCTAGCATTAGGGAGGCAGAGGCAGGAAAATGGATGCAGATTAGAGGACAGCCTGATCTACATAATAAGAGTTCCAGGGCTATATGGCAAGACCCCATCTCACAAAAAAAAGGAAGAAAGTAAACTCAGTTGATGGGACTATATACTAATATAACCATAGGGAAACAGTATGGAAGTTTCTAAAGAAATAAAAAACACCATATAACCCTCTGCTGGACATATGCCGAAAGAAAATGAAATCAGTACTGTGTAAAAATATCTTCACCCAAGTGTTCGCTGCAACATTATGCACAATGGCTGAAATACAGAAACAGCTGAAGTTATCTGTACAATGGCACATTTTCCAGCCCTAAGGAAAAATGAGACCTAGTTTTTGCCATAATGTGAACTTTGAGAGCATTGCAATGAGTTATACAAATAAGCCAGACATAGGAAGAAAACATTCGACCACATCACTAACAGAAAACAATGCAAATATATGGAGAGAACAAGATGGTAGCTGGGGGGATGCAATGGATCAAAGGACACAAAACACAGTTGTGTAGGATGAGACAATCTCAAGTTCATGTACAGCATGAGGACTACAGGTAATAAAATTGCACTATACTTGGCATTTATGGTGACATTTTAGTTGTCACAATTTTTTAAAAAGACTATACTAATCTTTTTTTACTATTTATGTGTCTATAACATGCTTTATACTTTAAATATACACAATAAAATTTCTTTTTAAAATATCATTTATAATCCACATTAAATAACAGGTGACATTTATGGAAGTCTTTTGCAAAATGCTAATCAACTATAAAATTGTTACTTCCATAATCCACAGGAAATAATAATTAGCATGTTTTTGCTGCTTGAAGCAACTGTAATGTAATAAAATTAAGTGACCTAGATCTGTCTCTCTTTTTACTATGTCAATTATAACTCAGAATACTTGTCAGCCAGGGGTAATACATCCCCTCGAGAGGGAGAAGTTTTGGTTGTTATGGTGATAAGAGAGCGAATACAATAACATTGAACATGACTAGATGGGGATATATTCGTAACTCTATAAACTAGTTTAAAAGATGACTTGAGAGGTATGGGAAATGGCAAACATAAAGAGTCATGTTGCAAGAAAATTGAAAAACAAATATTTGACAGCATTATAAAGGCCTTTTTTTTTTTTTCCCCCCCTTGGTTCCTAAAGGCAGAAGATGAGTTTGTGTACTGGCCAAGTCGAGAAGAATCCATGAATTGTGAGGCCTTTACTGTCACCCTTATCAGCAAAGACAGACTGTGCCTCTCTAATGAAGAGCAAATTATCATCCATGACTTCATCCTTGAAGCTACACAGGTAACTTAAACTGCACTTCCTCCATAATTGTCCGACCTGGGTCTTGGATCAACCTTTAAGTAATAATGCAGCGATTTGCCACCTTCAAACCTGTCCCAAGCACTGGAGTAAGACTTCATTTTAAATATGTACATTTTCCCCTTTTCTTCCTTCAAATATTTGCTTTTTCCAATTGGTTAGATGAAATGTAACTCTTCCTCTGATTCAGCATGCAATACAAATAGGCCTGCTGACCTAATTATAAAAACAATATGCTAGAGCACTGCTATGTTCTGCCATTGGGAGTACAAGCCTTTCAATGTGTTATAAAGAGGACACTGTTTAGTAAACTATTTTTACATACAGTAACTGCCTTCTCATGGGAAGGATAAGAAGGGTCCATAATAAATTAGTAGTTTAAATGGTACCCAAGCCCCTCCCTTATTTTTTCTTTACTATTACAGATGCTAAGGTTGAATAAGACAAAGTTTCCTACAGTTTTTTTACATGAAAGATCTACTGGGCTGGAGAGATGGCTCAGCAGTTAAGCACAATGACTATTCTTGCAGAAGACCCAGGTTCGAATCCCAGCACCATGGAACTCCAGTTCCAGGGGATCCGACAGCCTCTTCTGTCTCCCAAAGGCATTGTTTGACATGGGTGCACTTACCTACATGCAGGCAATACATGCATACACATAAAATAAAAATAATAAATAAAATATTTTTAAAAAAGATCTACTGGCATGGCATTTTTTAATGGCTTTTCTTCTGAGTGGCTGCAGTTTGGTTCTGACATTGTTCAGAGTAATCTGTAGTACATGCTTCCTAAGTCATTCAGTCATGGACCTAGGCATTAGAGGGGGCTGTGACTTGCATTCTTCTGGTTGCAGGATGACTATGTACTGGAAGTTCGGCACTTCCAGTGTCCCAAATGGCCGAACCCAGATGCCCCCATAAGCAGCACTTTTGAGTTGATCAACGTCATCAAGGAAGAGGCCTTAACACGGGATGGCCCCACCATTGTTCATGATGAGTATGTATCCCATTCTTCATGTCAGAGTGCAGATTTTGTTCTTAATGGATACAGTCAAAAGAGAATGCATAATTTAAAAACCCACCCTCTCAGCTTGTGACACTCCATGTTATTTCTAATGTGCACATACACAAAGTGTTGCAGTTCTGTTTACATTTTAATTGATCAAACTCTACCCAGGCTCCAAGTGCTCTTAGAGAATATGTTCCAGAAGGGGAAAGTCTTATATCTTGGCCTGCAAAAGTAGCCATGCATGCTTTTTGAGGCTGTATATTTCAGTAACAAATTACTAATTAAATTATTTCTTTGTAACCAGGCATGGTTGGCAAACAGTTTAATCCTAGCACAGGGGGGTAGGGGTGAGAGGAGGGAGGTAGGTATCTGAGTTCAAGACAGCCTGGTATAAATATTGAGATACTGTCTCATTTTTTAACTTTGCTATTAAATGGTTCAATTTATTTTAAACGCTTACACTGAATTTCATCAAATACTATTAAGGAAGGAACCTTTTAAAAATAGGGGCTTGATTAGTAAAGAAAGTTACTATAAGTTAGCATTGACAGTGAATACTGCTTAAAATTTACAGTGCTATCTTTTGAGATATCAAGGCAAACCATATGAATCTCACAGAGCATGGTCTCGGGGTTTCAAAGTGTCAAAATGATAATCTCATCCCACCTCTTTCAACTTTAATAAAAAGGAAAAGGTAATTGATATACCTCATGGTGGGAATACAGTATAAATATATGGAGTCAGATTTTATGGGTTATTTAAAAATCACACAGGCCTTTAACACAATATAGAACCAGTTACAAATCCTCATTCCTGCTTTAGTTTCAAGCAGTTCCTGGGTCAGTAAATCTCCATGCATCCATTATGTTCATTCTAGTTACGTAATATATTAGCAAAGTCCTGGTGCCAGCATCTTTCTTGGGTAAGTCCAGGGGTGCCCACTGCACCTTGACTTCCCCAGCCTCATTCACCCTCCCAGCTCCCTGACCCCATCTCTCTTCCTGGCCTGGGTACTGGCCCATTTCTTGTCTTGGCACCCCAGACACCAGGGCTGACTTCTCGGCCCAGACTCCCCATTGCTTCCTGATCTTTTGCATCCAGATCAACCCAGCTCCTCGCAGTAGTCCCCGGGAGCGCTGGGGTCTGGTTCCGCCCCCACCTACCTTTGCTTCCCTGGGTGGCTCAGCCACCAGCTTCCTGGTGCTATCATGTTTCCTGGGTGGATTTGGTGGGGCACTCACTGCACCTTGACTCCCCCAGCCTCATTCATCCTCCAAGTTCTCCTGCCCTGTCTCTCCACCTAGCCTGGATACTGGCCCATTTCTTCTCTTGGCACCCCAGACTCCTGGACAGACCTCTTGGCCCAGAATCCCCACTGCTTCCTGATCCTTTGCCTCCAAACCAACCTAGTTTCTCCAAATAGTCCCCAGGAGCCATCAGGGCCTCTTCCAACCTCCACCTCCCTTTGCATCCCTGAGCAGCATAGCCACCAGCTCCCTGAGACCACCATCTTTCCTGGGCCCTGCTCCCAGGCCAGCCCAGCCCCAAATTCCTGAGGGCAGCATCTTTCCTGGAGGGATCCAGACCTTAGGAGAAAGCCTGAGACCATCTGATCCTCATCTGACTTGGGCCTCTGTGGGAACTCCTGAAGACAAAAGCAAACTGGCCACTCCAATATAAAATCAAAAGAGAGAACCCGAAGCTTAGACCAACCGGCTTTTCATGCCCAACACATAAACCACAAAGGCACATAGAGTTTACAAAAAGGAGACCCAAACTCAACAAAGGAGGGCTTGAGTCTCATACAAGAATCAAACACTACAAAAGAAATTCACATGTCAAAGTCACAGTGAAAAAATAATAATATAAAAAACCAAAATAATATATCCCCACCAAGTTCCAATAGTCCTCTAGAGGAGTACAATGAGAACCCCCTAGAGATAACACAGGATGTGGAACTCAAAAGAACAATTATAAACATGATAAAAGAATTCAGTGAATTTAAAGAACACACAAAGAAATCAAAGAACTGAAATAAGATAGGGACAAACTTTGGAATGAATTCAGAAAAGAGAACTACTGATATTGAAGAATACACATGCTGAAATGAAAAGGAAGTGAAACACTCAGTAAGCCAATTAAAAATGACAGGAGGAAGCCTCACCAATAGGATGAATGAAATGGAAAACAGAGTATCAAGACTGGAAGATAAAGTGGATGAACTAGACCACACAAGTAAAGATTATGAAAAATTTAAGAAATCACAGAATGGAATATGCAGGAATTGTGTGACACCATAAAAAAACCCAAACTTAACGAATCATAGGCATACAGGAAGGAGAAGACTCTCAAGATAATGGTATGGACTAGATCTTCAACAGGATTGCAGAAGAAAATTTCCCAAAATTAAAGAAAGACATGCTCATACAAATACAGGGGCATATAGAACACCAAATAGGACCAGAAAAGAAACTTTCCACGGCACATCATAGTAAAAACACTAAACATTCAGAACAAAGAGACAATAATGAAAGCTGCAAAAGAAAAGCAAGTCACATACAAAGGAAAATCCATCAGGATTACAGCTGACTTTTCAGTGAAAACTATGAAAGACAGAAGAGCCTGGACCAAAGCATTCCCAGTTAAATGACAATAAATGCCAGCCCAGAATACTTTACCCAGAAAAAATGTCTATTATAATTGAGGGGGAAAGAAAAATCTTCCATGACAAAAATAAACTGAAGGAATTCATATCCACAAAACCAGCCCTTCAGAGAGTCCTTGAAGCAATACAAAGAGCTGAAGAAAGGAACAACTATACCCAACAGGTTATGGAAAGTAACTCAATGAAGGTATAACTGTGGAAATGCACAGCTATACCAAGAATGTGAACAGAAATAAAAATGACAGGATTAAATATACATCTTTCATTAGTAACTTTAAATATCAATGGACTGAACTCCCCAGTCAAAAGACAACAGACTATTTGAATGGATTAAGAAACAAAGCCCATCTTTTTGTTGTCTGCAAGAAACTCATCTCACTTTCAAGGACAGACACTGCCTTAAGGTAAAAGGATGGGAAAAAATATACCAAATTAATGGTACTTACTAAGAAAAGAGCAGGCATTGCAATTCTAATATCTGATAAAATAGACTTTAAACTAAAACTAATCAGAAGAGATAAAGAGGGCCACTTCATTCTGATCAAAGGAACACTAAACCAAGAAGATATTACAATCACAAACATATATTCACCAAACTCTGGTGTACCCAGCTTCATAAAAACAGTACTGCAGGACTTTAAGACCCAGATTAATCCCAACTCATTAATACTAGGGGACTTCAATACCCCATTGTCTCCATTAGATAGGTCAACAGGACAGAGAATTAACAGAGACATCTGAATTAAACAATACCACACACCAAATGGGCCTAACAGACATCTACTGGGTATTCCACCCAAGCAACAAAGAATATGCTTTCTATTCAGTGCTCCATGGAACTTTCTCCAAAATCGACCGTACACTAGGGCACAAAACAAACCTCAACAAATACAAAAAGACTGAAATAATTCCACATATTCTATCAGACTACAATGCAATAAAGCTTAAAATCAACACCGGAAGAAACCCTAGTAACTACATGAACACATGGAGGTTAAACAACACACTACTGAATGATGAATGGGTCAAAGGAGAAATTAAGAAAGATGTAAGTATTCCTGGAACTAAATGAAAAGGGACAATACAATACAACAAAAGCCCTGGGACACGTTGAAAGCAGTCCTAGAGGGAAGTTTATAGCTCTAAGTGCCTACATTAAAAAATTGGAAAGAACACAAGTAAATGACTTAACAGTGCAACTCAAGACACTTGAAAAGCAACAACAAATGAAACCCAAACCCAGCAGACAAGAAGAAATAACATAAATCAGAGCAGAAATGACCGAAATCGAAACAAAGAAAACAATACAAAGAATCAATGAATCCAAGAGCTCGTTCTTCGAAAAGATAAACAAGATTGACAGACCACTAGTCCAGTTGACCAAAAGAAAGAAGAGCACCTCCAAATCAAGAAAATCAGAGACAAAAGGGGAAACATCATAACAGACATAAAAAAAAAAACAGACACCAAAAAGATCCAGAACATTATAAGGGAATACTTTAAAAACCTATATGCTACTAAATTTGAAAACCTAAAAGAAATGGATGGGTATCTAAAAGCATGGGAACCACCAAGACTAAACCAAGAAGAGATTAATGGCTTAAACAGACCCATAACACATAATGAAATTGAAACAGTAATACAAAGCCTCCCTGCTAAAAAAAGCACAGGAGAAGATGGATTTACAGCAGAATGCTACCAGACATTTAAAGAAGATCTACATCCTATACTACTTAATTTATTCAAAAAGATAGAAATG